AGTCCCTTTTTAATCTTTTCATCTTTTCATGGACGAATTAAGGAAATTTATTAACGGATATCTTAACGATGAGATTATAAAACGGAGCCACAAGCCGTGCGCGCTAATCTTTCTACTCGTTATCGTAATTTACTTCGTTCGTACGTTACAAAGCCGCCATTTTTCAGACCGTACTTTTTCTTCCCTTCTCTCTCTCTCTCTCTCTCTTTCTTTCTTTTAAGGTTTTTTTTTTGTTTTCTTTAGCGACAAGTTTCATTATCGCACGAGTAATTTCGTCGTGTTGGAAAATATATACAGTGTATTACATTGTTCATACTACACGCATATATGTAACACGGTGAAAGGGAAAAAGAGGAACAAAAAGATAGAAAGAGGAAGAGACAGAGAGAGAGAGCGAGAAAGAGAGAGAGAGCTCGTGGGAAATTTTACAATCCTACGACAGCTTTTAGATTACTTTCATTTCGAAGTTTCGTGCGACAGCACGATGGGGTTCGTTCGCTTCTAGAAAGACAAGCACGGAACGGAAGAAACTAAATTGTGCTCTCACGAATTTCAACCTTGTGATATAACACATACGTAAATACTAAAGTGTAGTATATGTGTAACGTATATACATATATGTATATACGTATACGGATACAACGTTGCCTATATTGATAGTATATATTATCATACACGAACAAAAACATGATTCCACCGTTATCTTTTATATATTTTTCTATATACTCTTATATATACATAAGTATATTTTTATAATTACGTTGCATCAATGAAAATCTCGGTCGTCGAACGAACCTTTAACGATTGTTTGAAATCTATAGAAAAAGAGAAAAAGAAAGAAAACGAATGAAATACAGAAATAATTAGAAAAAAAGATGGATAAATGGATGGATAAAAAGAAAAAGAGAATGATGGAAATATTAATGTACGAACGAACGAACGAACGAACGAACGAACGAATGAACGAACGAACGAACGAATGAACGAACGAATGAACGAACGAACGAACGAACAAGCGGTACGATTTCAAAAAGATATTTATCGGCGTTGTATCTAACAAAGGGAAGAATCTTTTTGGATAGTTACGTTAAAGTAAAAAAAGGGAAAGGAATTAAGAGAGAAAGAAAGAGAGAGAGAGAGAGAGAGAGGAGAAGGTACGGGAAAAAGACTTTTCTGAAACGACCTCGAACTCCCCATAGTCCTTCTTTTTTCTATCTATCTTTCTCTCCCCCTCTCTCTCTCTCTCAGTTCGTCTTCTTATTTTTGTCTCTTTTTTTCTCTATATTTTTCTTCTTCTTCTTGTCGAACAGATAACGACGGATACATAATACACGGATGACTGCACCTGATTCCACGAAATCCGCGAAAGCCATCTTTACGGTCCGTCGATCAAACGATCCTTCTTGACTTCTTCTTTTTTTTTTCTCTCTCTCTCTCTCTCTCATTCTCTGACTTTATTTTCGAAATTTTTTTTTAATCTTTTTCTTTCTTTCATTCTTCTCTCTCTTTCTTTGTCTATCTATCTGTCTATCTCTATTTCTCTTTTAACTATCCTTTCCAACTGCGTGGACGTAGGAAGCGTCCGCGCATTCGATCGTACCCCATAAAAAGAACTCATTAAACGTCCATTGTAAGCTTCTCGTGTCGCGTCCAATCATCGTCTCTCAAAGAGATTTTTGTAGCAACTATCGCTCTTTCTCACTCATTCACACTCTATCTTTCTCTCGTTACTAGCCACACTTTTTAAAAGCTAACGCTGCTGAATCGACGCCGAATAATTATGTTTCTATCGTATATATGTGTGTTTCCCTTTCTCTCTCTCTCTCTCTCTCTCTCACCTCCTTCCTCTTTTTCTTTCTCACTTTTCCTGATTCATTCGCAATGATTCATTTTCAAATCACCGTCAAGGATTTTTAGAACTGGGAAAAAAATACTGCTAAGTTGTTCGTACGATTATTTGAATTCTAAGTCTTTTTTTATGGTATAAACATTCGAGACTAAATTCGAGGTTGACCAATGATAATAAAAAAGAAAGAGAGAGAGAGAGAGAGAGAGAGAGAAAGAGAAAAAATAAGGGAAGATGAAATTAAATGGATATTTTTCTCTTCCCTATTTTTTCTTTTCTTTTTATTTTTTGGGGGGTGAAGGGGAATTAATTTTTTAAATACACAGACGAGTTTGTTAATTGAGTGTAATAATGAGATTAAAAAAAACCTTTTATGTAAGGTAAAATCGAATTTTTTAGGAAATACAAACGATCGTATAATTGTCGATTTGTCGACTTGAATGAGACCGATCGATTCTCTTTTTCCCATTTTTTTTCCCGTTTCGTCGGAAAACCTACCTTTTAAATATTTTTTTTTTTTCCGGAAGGGGTATTTTTTTTCCTTTTTTTTTTTCGGGATATTTCCTTTGATTCGCAAACGTACGCGATGGAACGAAGGATCGTTTTCGATGTGGCGCCTCGCTTCGTTCGGCGATAATTGAAGGGTAAAAGTAGCGATAGCCGTGAATCGGTCGCTCGTTTTACGTTCGAAAGCAATCGTTCTATGTAATGTAATAACGCGAATCGAATCGATACGATGAAATGTCGCGAGTAATTGCTACGATTTCATTCGTTTCACGTTAATGGCACTGCCAAAGCGACCAGGTTTTTTCTGCCCCACCGTCCTCCTTCACCACCCATAGACCTATGCTTTTTTTGTTCTCATTTCGTATACAAACGGTGGTCGTTTACAAAGAGATAGGGGGGGGGCAGGAGGGGAGGGAGAGCGAGCGAGAGAGAGAGAGAGAGAGAGAAAGAGAAAGAAAAAAAAATAACAACAAAACGAAAAATGCGTGAGATGTAACAAAAAACCGGTAATCTAATCGCGAGTGTTCGACGAAGTATGCATTGTAGGTTTGCAGTTTAATCTCGAATATTTTATTATCGATTGTTTTGTGATTCGAACGATCAATTGAATTATACACCGAGTAGAGAGATTAGCCTGTCCGTGTTATTGTTTTCATCTATTATTAATAGCTATATATAGATTCCTCGGCACACGATTTCTATCGATCGAAACATTCCAGATCTCGCTAAATATTCGTGGAACCTTGTATCGTTCTCATTATGCCCTATTGCTCCGCTATTCCAGCAACTTCGTTAGATGGTATTTCATTTTCGAAATATTCGGCTGAATAGAATTCCGAAGTTTCTTATATCTATTTACAAGTTTTCTTTCTATGATAATAACATAATCGATTCATTATCTTGATTACCTTGTTGTCGTAACGTTATTTTCCTCCTTCTTCATCTTCATCTTCATCTTCTTTTTCTCTTATTCTTATTCATCTTATAGTTAAATATCTATTAACTATTGTTTTATTATTATATAATTAATTCTATTATTAATATTATATTATATTATTATTATTATAATTATAATAATTATTATTATTATTATTACGTAGGTGTACATAATTACATATCTGTATGCGTATAATACGCTTGGAGAACGGTCGACGCATTTGCGCCCTCGCGTTCGCTCTTTTCTTTATTCAGTATCGGAAATAATCAATTTTTTCTCTTTTTTTTTTTGTAAAATTAATCTTTGAATTATATTAATATTCTTCGGACAGGTTATTTATTTTTGATTAATGAATGAACAAGGACAAAAAAGAAAGGAAGCGTTTCGATCTCTATCGGGCGGGAGTATATATGTCGTTTAATGAATTTGATACGATGAGACAGAAAAAAAATAATCATTTTTATAATATGACATAATCACTGTTCGAATCTCGTCTCGTTAAAGTCACTGTGTTTTTCCTATCCCTTCCCCCCGGGCCCACGTTGTTTTTTTTTTCTCTTCCTTTCTTTTTCTTTTTTTTTACACGAAAGAGAGAAGAAAATGAGGGACGATGTAAAGGAGTTGAAGTTTTTCGTTTACGACAAAATAGAAAATGACGTATCGACGATAGTAGTTAATATCGCGTATGTACCTTCGTTATTCCTCGTTATTCCTTGAATATTAAGAATTCTCGTTTCTCTCTCGTAGATCGATCGTTGCCATCAAAACTTTTCCGTGCGTAACGAATGAAGACCGATATGCTTTTAGATGCTTTTTAAAAAAGCGAGGAAAGCGGAGTTGAGTGAGAAAGAGAATGAGAAATAGAAAGAGAAAGAGAAAGAGTAAGAGAGAAAGAGAAAGAGAAAGAAGAGAAAGAGAGAGAGAGAGAGAGAGAGAGAGAGAAAAAGAGAGACAGAGAAAGTCTCTCTACGTACAAGAAAATACTTTCATACGTTATTCCTTCTACGAGTTAAACTTCAATTCTTTTTACATTTTCCGATTAAATATATATCCGAGGAAATGTCTTAATAATCTCATATTTTAATTCTTTCTTTTCTTTTCTTTCTTTCTTCCTACAATCTTTCCTTCCTTCCTTCTTTCTTTCTTCCTTCCTTCCTTCCTTCCTTCTTTATCTTCCTTTCTTTTTTAAATTAATTGTAGTTTTAAATTTGTATTTTATCTTTTTTTTTTTATTTAACCCTGTAACTACCACTAGAATTTGCGTGCCGCTGAGAACACCGTTTTCACAAGCACATTATTATTTTACAAAATTCGAGCACGTACTTACGACGGTTCTCGATTTTGATAAGATATAACAACGATCGTTTAAATATATTATTAATCGTATGGACCCGAAACAGACTTTGAACGCGTAAAATATTTTATAAACTAGAAAACTCTTACACGTTACTCTAGATATCGACGAGAAATAATAACGATCATTTACATTTTTTTAAGATTTATGTATATGAGAGATAGTCTCTGAGATACATTAAACATCAACGCGTAGCTTTAACATTTATTTCGCCAACTCGAATATTTCGATTTTCATGAAACGCGCGAAACTTCGTATAGAAGCTCTATTCTTCCATTTTATAAATTTATTACAACGATTATTCTTTTTTTTGATTGCCGTTTATCGAATAATTTTGATACTAATCTCTTCCTTTATTCTTCATTCTTTCTTTACATTTTATTTTTTATTTTAAAACAATTATTTTCTTCATCTTGCTAAAATGTATTTGAATTTTCCCCGTCTTCGCCATTTTTATATACGGACAGGATATGAACGGCATTGCCATCTAGCGATGACAAAGAGGACCAATAACTTACGTTAATGCTCGACAGCGGGTAATATCGCTTTGGAAGTTGACTTATCGTCGACAGACCATCGGTTAGAACATTTTTACGAAAAGATGATAATTTTGATGATTTACCCGTTGAGAAGAGTGGTATTTTCGATTTTGATTGGAATACATTTTGACGATCGTTGGAAACAAAAATAATTATTTAATAATCAATAAAGATTAAGAAATGATTAAATTTTCACTATGATTTTTTTTTTTTCTTAACTCTTATTCCTTTACATAAGTTTCGTTAATATCGAAATCATTGAGTTGGCGTATTTCTCTTGCGAGTATTTTTTTCGTGATAAAAGTCTTTTGATAGTTAAAGGGTTAACGAAATATTTCCCACTAAACGATGCGATTTTGAACGTCGCGTTTGAATATCCATATTCGGACGACGACGTTTCGATTCTCTCGACGTGTCTCCGGAGCTTGCTTCTATTGGGGGATGGTGGTGGTGGTAGGCTTTGTCGTGGAGCAACGATTACGATTACCAACGCGTATTTTTATTTACATAATTCGAGTCGCGTGCCGGTCTCGCACGTAATGACTCCTGGCAGGCAATCGAATAATCTTCCACGAAAATCTTTCTCGCATATATATCCGATTAGACCCGACCGACGGCGATCTCGACGAAGTTGAATAAAATGTGAAAAAGAAGGAAATATAATCAAATAACAAAAAAAATTAAAGGGTAAGAGAAAAGAGATAGGTAGAGAGGGTTGGGGGGAAGAAGAAGAGATAGAAAGAGAGAAAAAGATAGAAAAAGAGTAGATGAGAAAATGAAAGAATGATAATAAAAGGAAAAAAAAAAGATAAAACACGTAAAAGAAAAAAAGACAATTTCAAACTGAATGAAATAAATTGAAGAAGTATAAAGAAAAGAAAACTTGTTAAAGTAAAAGGAATATAAGAATGGAATAAGAATGGAATAAGAGAAAGGGGATGAATATTCGTTAAAAACGCGGACTGGTGTAACCTACCTATCGCGAATGGAAGTAGTCGTACGGATTTAAATAATTATGGACATTTTGAAGTGAAATCGTTTATCGTGCCAGAAGGAGACTGGTCACGAGCATAGTCGTCAGCAGCATTTCGTTCAGGATCCTCCTTGCGGCCGACGTTTTGCGACGCTGAATCGCCGCCATTTTGTCACCTGTAACAAGAAATAAAAGGGATCGAATAAGAGAAGAGTAATTAAATTAAAGTTTGCTAGACGAAGGTTCGACGGGATCTTCCGAGGGGTTCGGACCGATCGGTATAGTCGTTGATCAAAGTCGTCGACCATATCTTCCGATTCACCCTCTCATCCCCTTTCCTATCCCTTCATTCACCTATTGCTTTCGCTAATCTACTTTCAACCTTTGTTTTCTTTTCTTATTTGGATTCGTTCAACACGAGTTCCATAAATTCGACGATTGAACGTGCACTATGTTCTACGGAATCGTTTCTTTCTTTTTTGTTTTTTTTTTTTACTTTTTTCCTCCCTGTTTTTTTCCTTTTTATTTTGTTTTAAACGGAGGAAGCTGAGTTTACCTGAATTAGAATTAACTATCGTCGAGTAGTAAAAATATTCTTTTTTTTTTTATTCACATTAGTAGGGAAAAATTCAGAGCGTTTAAAACTTTCCTCGACTCGTTTTATAACTTTCGTATAATTTTAACTAAAGACCAAGTTCCATTTCAAGAAATGTCAATGTGTAACCTTTTCATTTTCACTACTATGACCTTAAAATAATAGTTCTCGATATATTTGTTCCAATTAAATATGTATTATTTTAGAGATATAATATTTTGTAGTGATTTAGATATTTAGGTTTTTTATTTTAGATGAAATATCTATTGAATATTAGACGAGAACAAGTTTAAAATTCATGTTAGCATATACACGACGCGAATAATTGAATCTAATGCAATTTTACGAACGGATTTCCTTTATTTTTTTTCCCGTACGAGAACAAGGGTGAATTGGTTAGATGAATGAAATGTAATTCATTATTTCATTATTCTTCGATCGTTCGTGATCGATGTATAATTCAAAGGAAGGGAAAGAGGGAAGGAGAGAAGGAGGAAGAGGAGGAGAGACAATGAATCTAGTTGAAGGAAATTCATGCGATAGGAAAATTGCGAAAGGTTGTAATCGTCGAGCGGATTCGATATTTTGTCCCTCGAGTTCTCCTCGTTACGCTTGCGAGTCTCCCGCAAACGGACTTATTGTTAGTTCACTTTGTCCTGTACTTTCGCAAGAATTACGTTAACTTTCCGCTTAGTTAGCTCAAGTACCCCCTTTTTTTTTCTAGGCAACCGGTGTTGCAGGCATCCCACACAAAATATTTTACTCTGAGCGGCTACCTCGGTTTAACTTCGTTCTTAGCTTATATCTCGCCTGGGAGACCCTACGTTAATTAATCGGAAAGTTAAATTCGGCTAGGGTAAGGCTATAAGGAAAGTAAGGGTACCCTGATTTGCGGTAACCTAAGAAACCTTCGATTTAACGATCTTCGACCAAATTATATCTTTGTATATATACCCTATATATATATATATATATACATATACATATACATATACAATGAGTTATAGAAGTATTCCTACCCTTACTATCAATTTAAAACGATCAATATTTTCTTGTAATACAATTATCTAAATTATTATACACAGAAACATATTTCAGGATAATTAAACCTTTCAATTAATTATCATTTTATTACAAAATAAATAAAATATAATATAACTGATAAGATTGTATATTTATTTTATCTTACGTAAGTACAAATACTCTTGTGAGATTTATTTTTGATCATTTAAGTAAAATATTCTTCTGAAATAAAATTGATATCAATTTAAAAGTTAAATAATTCTAAAATAGGTTCCTGTTTATAAGAATTTAGCAAATATTAATTATTTCAAATTTATAATGATAAGAGTATTTACGAGTACTCCTGTGATTCATTATACATCATTATTATTAATCGAGTATAGCTTAGTTAATCCTTTTTATAAAATGACTTTTCCGTAATATCGTTTTATTTTTACGATCGATTCCTTGATAATCCATTTAATTGATATTCTGGAATTCAAAGGCGGTAAATGTCGTCGCTAGTGTCTGACAATAAAGTGGTTTAATTCAACTTCCTGATCAAATAGTGAAGATCTTCGAAACTGAATGAGTTCTGGATTTATGAACAAGAGTTGACGTAAACTTTGTCAATTATGTCACCGCTACAGCATTATAGAAGACGTGTACCAAAGCACAAAGGGACGTTCGTAGTCTGACAACTGGGCCGGTATAATGCGTAAGGCTTCCGTGTTTTAGTCTTCAAAGAGCTTAAGCGTCTCGCTTTAATCTAACATAAGAAAGAGAACTAGTGGTAATTGACGTTCAACAATTTTTCCACGAACATTTCGGCTTCCTACGTTTTTCTTTTAACATCAATCGTCTAGTTCAAAGTTTTCTCGATAAAAGAGAAAAAGTAAATTCAATGAAACGATATCGAAGGATTTCTATAAGGGAACATGAAAGAAAATTAATATAGAAAGTAATTCATGTTAAATCGATAAAAATAAATCACGTAATTTTTCGACTTTGATACAAAACGATCCTTTAAAGTATTAATTATTTCTATGTAATAATATCTGTTACGTACAGTAATAAAAAGTAATATTACATTAAATGATCTATTTTGTACAAAAGTATTTTTTTTTATATTATTATTATATGTCGCATATAATATCAAAATATGACACGAATTATTCTTTAATTCATCTTTGTATGTATATTCAAATCCAACGTATATTAATATCCAACCTTTTTGCTAATATCCTTCAATAAGGATTATTAAAAATTTTAATTAATGAAATGAATACGAACATTATTATTAGTATTGAATTTATCGACGATTTATCTAAATATATTCATAATTATTGTATAATTATTTATTGTAAATTAATTCCCTTTCTAAAGAGTTATCCTACTAATTGTATCGATCTGATATCTAAAATCGTGCGCGTTTAAAATTATAATATTCTATTACTATTGATATTTATTACTTATTACAATTATTTTTTTTTTTTACTGGCATTAGATTGTAGAATTATATTTCTTGAAAACGTGAATGATATTTTGCGAGAATGGTTGGATAGAAAAAAAAAAGGGAAAGAAAAAAAATGTGAAAAAATAGGGGAAACACAAAAAAAAGTAAAGATAAAGAAAAGAGAGAAATGAAAAAAAGAAGGTCGTGATTTCTTAGCCGTCACGTTTTCCTACGTGTACTATCAGGATTCATGACGCAAAGCTCCGGGGCCTTCAGATTTGCAACATTCATCGGATATACGTGTCCTTCGTGAAGCGCGAGCACATGCACATTTTTACCGTAATTTACGGCGAGCCGTTCGCCCATATGTTCCCGGGAGAGCGTGAATTACGATCCTCTGTGTATGTATGGTACCGTGTAGCTACAGGACGTTAATACACGCGCAAAATTCGTGGTCCGTGAGGAGACGCTATAATGGACTTGGTGTCTTCAAAATTTCATCAGAATGTGTACATCTAACGTACATCTACTTGGATGAAACTTACGTGTATGCGTATGTGTATATTCGTAATATACACAGAATGAATCCACAGGAACGCTTCAAACACTAAAAAGGGTGTATTTTATACACGTAAACATAATTTTACAAAATCAAAAATCTCAAATGTTGTCATCCGATGTTTTCTTTGTTATTAAGGTAAGTTATAACGTCATAACAAAATTTCTCGCACAAATTGTTTTAATCATTGCGTTAGAGTTGCTTCATAGCACGGTGGTCATATTAATTGGCTAACCACGGTTTCCTGACCTCTCATCATTAGTTTATTCTTTGTGGGACTGGTTTGAAGAAGAGATATATGTATATAAAGTAAAAGTTGACATATTTAGGATGCACTAATTCGACGTATTAGAAATATTATAGTCAACATTTAAAAAAAGGCACGAATCAATTAATAGAAGAGCAACGTTTAGTCGAAATAGAAAATGTTTAGAAGGACCTGATTATATTTTTGAGCCTTACATAAAAAATAAAATAATAATTCAATAGTTAAAGTATGAGATTGAGATTTCATTTGTCTTTAAAGCTTTTTATTTGTATAATTATATTTATTGTTATCCGTTCTTATTTCTTCCTGTATTTTGAAACAAATACTTTATTCTATCGACTTTTAATTCAAATGTTATCTGTTTGAAGTATAAATTAATAGATTTCTCACTTTAACGTATATATATATATATATATATATGATATGTATTGAAAGTATTCGAACGAAAAATCATTTTTGTAAAGTAACTATTCCATTTGATTTAATCATCTATCGAAAATCGTTGAAATTGATTAAATGATAGTGATTACACACTGTACAATGTAAATTTTATTTTTTTAGCTCGTTTAATTAAATAGAAACAGATACATGAACCATCGTTAAAATGAATTTAAAGTATTAATAAAAAAATAATTAAATAATCGAGATTAATTTTGGTACATATGTATGTATGTATTATATATATCTATGTATCTATGTATGTATATGCAGTATGTAGAGAAGAAGAGATAGAGAAGAAGAGTAGGATTCGTTTTCTCATAAACGTTCCATCGGGAAATGGTACGAATCGATATTAGGTCGACTAAATATCTCTCTTTCTATGTTTTTCTTCTTTTTTTTCATCTTTTTTCTCCTCTTTCGTTCTCTTCTCTTTCTCCAGAGTAGAGAAATACGAGGAAAACTACGAGGCAACCTTTCCCAACGTTCTCTCATTACTTTTTCATGGACACTCGGTGCGAGCTTCAAATGGCGTGTTGGAGCTTGCTCGCTCACCTTTTGCATCATCTGGAACTTAAGTTTGGTCCCGTGCACAGGAGATAGAGGAAATGCCTTATCTCGCGAATGGAAGCTCAAACCTGACCTTTCTTTTTCAGGTAATGCTCTCTAGGAAGATGAGGGATGAAAAAGTAGAAAGAAAGAAGAATAGAGGAAGAAGAAGAAAAAAAAGTGAAATAGATTATGTCTTAGGTAAAATCGATTTTTCAAAAGGGGAAATTGCCAAAGAAAATACATTTATATAGTAAAAAAAAAAAAACATGTCCGCATATCACACAAGTTAGAAGTGAAACCTTCAAATAAACAAGTTTCGAGGATAATTTATTATATATAGTATTATTATAATATTATTATAATATTATTTGTACTTTTAATTTGTAATTATTTATTTAATTATTAATTTTATTATAAAAATGTGCGCCTATTCGTATGCAACCCTCCAGACATACTTTGAAAATGAGATACTACTATATATATATATATATATGTATATATATATATATATATATATATATATATATACCACTACATCCCGGTTTCGTTTTCCCACTACATCACCGCGTTTCATTTTGTCAAATCACATCCATTCTAAAGAAGTTTTCACTTAAAAAAAAAAAAATAATAATCGTTATCGTAGGTTAATCTGAATTTTCGAATAAAATGACAAGTGTCATCTAAGAAAATGAAATAAAGAAATGAAATGAAATCAAACGAATGTTTAGAAGACCAAAGACAAAAGTCAGGGCAACCCTCGTTATCCCTCACGATTCTTGAGATTACGTCGTTCGAAGGATCACGATGATCCTTTTACCTTCGACCCCTTTGCTTTTTTCGTAATCTAATTAAGCTTTTCCAACAAGGCAACTCCTCCCTCCTCTTTTCTTCGGTCGATTATAAGGGTTTCACGATGAGGCGTTCTGCCCTCTGAACGAACGGACTATGATTTCTTTTTTGTTAGCCTCAAGAATTTCGACAAAGAGAAAAAGAAAAAGAGAGAGAGAAAAAGAGAGAGAGAGGAGGGACTGAAATAGAGAGAATGAAAAAGATGGAAAGAGAGAACGAAGTTTTTTGTTCGTCAAAGCTTCGTCGTTAGTTTCGAGTTTCATTAGGAAGGGGTTAAATATATATATGTATATACAATACATATATATGTGTGGTGGGTGTGTATATATACATACATATGTAATCTATTATACGTAGAAAAACATGGACATATATTGTGTATATGTGTATGTAAGCATGAGGTATAGAAAGGGTGAGAGTGTGTGCGTGTATGAGAAATAGAGAGGTACGTTAAGGGAGGTCATCGAAGTGATCGATCGTCGAAGAACCAAAGAAGCTCTTCTATCTATCTCTCTTTCTCTCTGCAAGCTCGCTCGAGTGCTTCTACTGGGGCGTGGATCCCAACACGTTCGATCTCCTGACGCTGAGACGAGTTACGTGCGTGAATACGCGCATACACATATACAACCTCGTCACATCATACACATTGCATATTACATACTGCACATTATATATACTAACTCGTAGACACACCAACACACACATACACAAACTTATCGGAGCGCCTATTAAAGCACGTATTATTTCTAAAAATATCCCTTTGCTTCGAAGAGAGTGTGCTTTATGCGTTGATAAAAAATTTAACGAGTAATACGTTACTTTGTTTTTTTTCTTTTCTTCTTCTTTTTTTTTGTAATATACATACACACACACATACATATATCTATAAGTACACATTTGCACGCGCGCGTTTTGTGCTTCTTTCTGTTTCTTTGCGCGTTGAATAGTTAAACAACGTTGTGATTTACATTATATGTCGTCTAAAAATGGGGAAAACTTTTGAAAAATGTATTTATCAATGTAACTATAAAAGTACATACAAGTTACTACATTTTGTCGTTTAGTTTAATGAACTACGATGGAGAGAAACGACAAAAAAGAAGTAGTTTTTGCTCACTCGCTGAAGTGTATTCTCGTTTGGTGGAAAAAAAGTAGCTAAGGGCTAGTGAGAAAAGAATATACGCTATAATAACAGACGGTGTTTTTTAATATAAAGCTCGCATTAAGGGGTGGCAAAGGGGAATTGGAAATGAACTGATGGGGTGGAGAGAAGACAAGAAGAACGGGAATGCGCACGTAACTTTAGTTACCCCGATGAATATATTTCGACCTTTTCTACGTCGTTTCTAGAGTAACGCCTTAAACAGTTTCATTTAAGCGGATCAGAAATGTACGTATACTTACACTTATATATATACATGCATACGCACACGCACATGTATACGCATAATAGAGAGGCATACATACATACATACATACATACATACATACATACGTAGTTCATACATACGAATATAAGTACTCAAGCATGCTCGGAAGTTGAGGGGTCTTACTTTTAATACTTTTCTGATACCTCCTCTTTGTTCATCGTAATCTGTTTAAACTCATCTCTTTGTAAATACTTATTAACGTATAAGAAGATGATTCAAAGATTTTCGTTTATTTATTCATCTGATAAATATATTTTTCAAATTTTTTCAAGCATATAAAAACGTATTTATTTTATCCTTCATAATTTTTCGTTAAAAGCGATTATTCTCATATCTCTTATTTTCTCTGATTTATTTTTGTTTCTTTTTCGAATAAAAAATCCATTCCTTTCCAATCATAAATAGCACCTCAAGAGTTCCACTTTCTCCGTTATCTAAACGAGGAACACTTCAACGTATTTCGAACTTTTCATTAATTATCCGTCCCTCTAAGAACAGTGGAAAAATAAATCAACGATTCCGAGAGATAGGAGGAGGATACCTCGAGGGAGTTAACGTTATCGCGTTCACTCTTAATTATCGTAAAAGGTAAAACGTACGCGTTTTAGATTCCGACCATTGTTGTTTTTTTTTTCTTTTTTTTTTTAATCATCCTTACGAATTGCCACGAAGATGCCCATTAATTGTGAACCTATCTATTTTCTTAAATATTTCTCTGTATCGCGTTCGTGAAATATATTAGGAACATTAATCGCTATCAAAAATGATTATGAGAATTTATTTCTTTTTTTTTTTTAAGAAGAATACCCATACATTGTGCCAAACGAACGATACATTTATGTTATTCTAGTTAGACTGGTAATACATATGTATGTATGTACATAAATATACTCACCCTCGGTAACGAAGACATAGATGGATGCAGGCTTGGTATTGGACGCGTTACACGTGTAATTGCCGGAGTCCGATTCCACGGCCTGGCGTATCGTCAGTCGACTCTGGGTTGGTCCTGGATCGGTTTGTACGGTGACGCTGCCCCGCGAGGTGTCGTAGTTTATCATCCGGTTATTGTGATACCAGAATACGTATTGCGGTGGCGTAGGGCTCTGCAAGCAAAAGATAAAGAGAACGATTTCGTTTGACGAGCCTGCTCCAGGTTTACTACTACCTTCTACTATATTTTCTTTTTTTCTATCTACTCTCTCTCATTCTCTCACTCTCTTTATCATTCATTTTTCCTTTTTCTTTAAACGGAAAATGGTGTGCACAACGTATGTGCACACGTATGTTATTACTTTATCGTTAAACTCGACAATGCATTCTCGTTTCTCCAGGTAATAGGAAACGATTTCGCATCGAATGTTATAAATTATTGGACAATTTCATATTTGAAATTTTCTTTCTCTCTCTATATGTAAATTTAAATTTATAAATGTATTCGTACATACACATTCGCGTATAGACACATATTTATTTTTTTTTTAATTTTTGTGTTTTTTGAAATTAATTTTGCCTTCCTCGCATTGGTTCATCAAACAAATTTTTACAACAAACTGAAATGTGATGAAAGTAAATGGACTAGCATGGACCTTCTTGATAATATCAATCTGACGTAAATAAAAGTGATAATAAGGTGAAACAAAATGAAGAGTAAAAGAACAAAGCAAACAAAAAGAATAAATGAAGGGCGTTCGCGTGTTTTCTCGCAATATGCACCGATGCGTGTCTGTGATATTAACTTTAATCGTTCCGCTTTAGGTCGATAGTAACGCGATATTTTTCTGTCCAACGGTATTAGAAACGGTAATTACAGATTTTTCACCTCGGAAAATAGCGTGTCATCTCGACAGTGGAGGTATCATATTTTGTACTTATTATTTAAAATACAAAAACATTTCGCGTCAGACGATAGTGTGTGACATTTTTTTTCGGTACTGATTGCACGTAGTCCCACATTAACGATGATTAAAAAATCATTATGCTTGATCAAATATGTATGAACATCGGAGGGGTTCGAGACCGTGATGAATTTTTTATAGGTCGTGTCATTCCGTAAACTATCAACTAGAATCCGTTAAATTTAACTTCCAATTAATGCGTAACGATTTAAATTACACGATATATAAATGTAATACATATATACACACATATATAAAACATTTGGTACAATGATGTGATTCGCGATATTTTTACTTCAATCTATTTCTCATTGATATACGATCTCTCGTGAATTCTCGACAATTTTATTTATCGACAAATGGATCCAATATTGAATTTTATATTCTCTCCCTTTATCCTTCAATGGTGATTATAATCATCAAAGTATCTATGAAATAGGTGTTGATAATTTAATGTCTATGTGAGATGAAAGAGAATGAACAGTTAGAAATCTTTAGATGTAGGACAAGCTCACAATTTCTACAAGAGATAAAACCCATTGAAAGGAACCTTGTTGTAATTCATTTCGATATAGAAGTATATATATATATATATATACATCTACATAGATAAGTATAAATGTAGTATATTGTAGATACTCTTCTATACTAAAAGGGTACGCGAGGAGTTAACTTGAGCATGAAAGAATAGCCGGTTCAGAGAGAAATCCTACGAGCAGAGATTTTCGCGCTTGACGGATCCTGGCAAAAAAGAAATGCATAGAAAGTGGGTAGGTCGGAAGAGCGCGCATTCTCGCCTGTTAAATGTTCCTTCTTTTGTTTGTTACGTTAGTTAAGGTACCAGCCCTTAAGCCGACTGTAGCGGTTACACACTACGTTGTAGTTGGACTTTATGAATACTCTGTGTTCTGTACTATGCTTGGTCGAGTTTTCTCTTTTTTCCTGCTTTTCTCTTTTACTTTGTTATTATTGGTTGAAACAACCGTACTTGGAGGAGGGGGGAAGGGTTGAGGGGTAACAAAATATGTGAGTACGTGGGACAAATAAAGTAGTCACTTTTTTTTAAAAGATTACATTTTAAAGGACACATACGGAATATCGATGCAACACATCTATCGAGAATATCGAGATCCAAGTACTGTACTTCGTAAGTTGGAAAATTCAACGGGAGGAATTTAATATTGGGAGAGAAATACGAGCGTACTCTAGTATAGACTTAATTTTATCAAGCACTAATGGATACACGTGAGTGAGCTCTTTCTAAAAAGCGAGTGGAATATGAAAATTAACGTTCGCGTTACAGATGGATATGTACGAGTATACCTATATCTATCTATACTAATTGTAAGTATATTTATATATGCATATATAATATATATTGTACATATATGCAAGGAAACATACTTTCTTTCATTCTCGTTATGTATATTGTAATGTTAATCTTCTTATGTTAATCTCCTTATATTATTCCCAGTCGTTACGGTAATCTTTAATCATGTATATACTATTCATATATTTTAATGTCGAATTTCTATTATAGTACTATATATGTTCTTTTTCTTTTCTCTTTTTAAGAGATATGGAATATAAGTTTACCATTAAAATTAAAAATCCGTTAATACATAAAATAACCAGCTAAATCATGAAATAACTATCCTGATCAAATATAAAACAAGGCCGAATTATATATTCTAACTAGAAAATATAAAAATTTACGAGAAAAAACTTGTAAAAAGTATGAAAGTGAGATTTTATCCGTATATTATATATGAAATAATATTGGTTTTCAAAATACAAAAAATAAAATAAAAACGAATAATTACGAGAATTGTTGTAGAAACCTCACATTAAGTTCGAAGGTTTTCACTTGATTTGTAAAGGGATGGGACGAGTAAATAAAAATTTTCTTCTTATTTATTTCCAATAGACAAGATAATCTGTAGCCTTTTAAGTGTATAATAAAATTATTTTTATATGTTTTCCCTAATACGCTTAGTTATTTCGTGCAAGACTTATCGTTAGTATTTTTACGAATAAATCAAATTATACACTTTAACGGACACATATACAGTGGATGTAGAAAGTATTCTTACACCGATCAATTTGAAATAAAATGTTGTGAAATTGTAGTTCATTAATTAAATTTTTTATAAACGATGAATTTATATATATTCTTGAAAGTTTTTATAATAGATGTAATGAAACAAAAAATTCTTTTTTTGAATAAATTATAAAATTGACAAGGAAAATGAAAAAATTGGCAGAAACATACGAGCAATAAGTATTCATGCAGTTCTTATTTTTTTCAAACTATTTATAAGAGAATTTGTATATAAATCATAATGTAAACACATCACGCGCGTGATTGCTTTCTAGTTATAATTCATCTCGTCAGTATGTTTGTAAGCGTTATCAGCATCAGTTGAGCTCAACATTTGTTAAGATCAAAAATTATTGTAATATATTATCGAATACTTTCAACACTCATTGTAAGTTGAACAAGTAAGTAAAAACGATAAAGAATAGAAGAATAATGTGAAGAATTGAAGAGAAGTGAAAAATATGCGATTTCGACGAGAATGACGATGGTCAAACAAAGGAGGAAATCGTGGTGAAAGAGGAGTACGATTAATTGGCCTCGTCACCGTGTTTTATGCTAACCTTATCTTACTTTAATACGGCAGTAGCGTGAGATGCGCAAAATGGAAAAGGACAAATTACTCTTGACAAATGGTACGAGCTTGCTACTCGGCTATCCTTCTTCTCTTTTTTTTTTTCTTTCTTTTCTTTTACTCCTTCTTCTCTTTTACTTCTACTTCTACTTCTACTTCTTCTTTAGATGGTCGTAGAGAAAAAGAGAAATAGAGATAAAGGACTGACGAATAAAACGTTTTCGTGAGCTCTCGACAATAGTCTCTCGATGTGCTTGGTTTATGGCGAGTATTGGACCAATCGCGTACACTCATGTACTACTACTTTTTTTTATTTTTTTTTTATTGCCATCCGGTTTAATTAACGTCCTCAAATTCGGGCGTTAATTAAGCGACTTTTGGATTAACTATAATTAATAATTACGGTACGTACGGTTAAGTATTTACGCATTGAAGAAAGAAAGTAATCAAATAGAAATTTTTCTTATAATAAAAATAACAAGAATTTGAATGGCTTATTCGGGGAAGAATCGTTGAAGGATGGTCAAATTATTTCGTCAAGGTTGTTCTTTTATTCTCCTACGTATATGAAAAAAATCATCTGCCATGAATGAAAAAGCCGAATACAATGACGGGGAAAACGGTAGAGAAAATACGAAATCTCCCGTCCTATGAGAATCCCAATTACGAAGGTCCCCAAAGAGCTTTGCCTTCAGAATTGGCGGCATTGATATATGAGACTCGTCCTGAAAATCGTATGGTTGGATTTTACGAGCCAACCTGACGTTCTTTCTGCGTTACCAAGCGAAAAAGAAAGACAAGGACAAAGAAAAAATAAAGAAAAAAGGAAGATAATAACAAGAATAAAAAGAAATACGAAAAACCGAAAGGAAAAAAAAAATAAAAAACAAAAAAAGATTTTTCCTGGGGGAGGTGTTACGGTGTTTAGAGTAGGCTGGCCGAGTGGGACGTCAATCGGTGGTAGAGTTTTTCGATTAAAACGAAGAACGATAAATTCGGTAGCTTTCGAAAGGAAATCGAGCCGTCCAATTTCCGAACGATCGAGTCACCTCGCTGGAGTACAACAGAGTAGTCTCGTTTAAAACGCAAAAGCGGAAGTGAAAAACAGGTAGACAGAAAGGACATATACAGGGGGCGGGGGACACGATCGCTGATTCGACCGAAAACATTTTTCGCCGATCGCTTTGCGCACATTTTTTCTCTCCTCGTTCTTTTATTATATTTTTTTATTCTTTTTCCTTTTTTTTTTTTTTTAATATTTTTATATATATACGTATATAGGTACAATATTTTTATATATATATAAAAACTCGGAGCGAGTTTTGGTCCAAAGATAGATCGAATTACTCGGTAGGTGTACGCAAACAGCAGGTGTTCTTGCGTCAGCGTACCCTCTTCCGTATCACTACTACCACTACTATTAACACCATCACCATCACCATCACCCTTCTTCTCTCTTGTTGGTTTTCATACGAATTTCCATCGACTCATGCTGCAGAGTTGCGTGTGTCGTTTATCTCTCTCTCTCTCTCTCTC